GGCGGCGGCAGGGTCTGCCCCGGGCCGGAGCGGGGGCTCAGGGGACTCGCCCTCCGGGGAGCGGCTGAAAACGAGGCCTGTAAAATCCCCTTCTTCAGAGAAGAGCAGGCATCAAGCCTGGGGGGTTGCTTGAGCTGCCTTGTTCCACCAAAGGCGATTAAAAGCCGTTTTTAATAGCTTGAGTCTTGTCGCTCTGAGTGCCCTTGAGTGCTGCGTGTGCTTGAAGAAGCTGGTAACTTCCTTACACTGCTCATGACCTTAATACGTCTCTGTTTACTTCACTAGGGAAGCTGCGTTGTGAGACTTGTTTATTTGGATTCTGTTTCCGGTTTTTGAAAAGGTGCCAAGTACCTCTTGGCTATTGCCCCACGCAACCCCCTCTGTACTTTTGGGGTCTGGTTTCCATCATGTGATCATAAAACTTTGTGCCTTTGTGCTGGGCTTCTCTCGTCAGAGAGCTCTTCTGTATGTGCAGCAAATAAAACTGCTTCTGCCTGCTTGTCTTGCTGCAGGTTGTGGCTGGAATCAAGTACATAATGGAAGTTGAGATTGGCCGGACAACTTGCCAAAAGCCGACAGCTGATGTCCAGAGCTGTGCTTTCCATGATGCACCTCAGATGGCTAAGGTAGGTTTTGGAGTACAGTGTGCTGGCCCTGGGTTTCCAGTCCCTTCCCTCTGGCTAAGTACAGAGACATATGGGCGCTGTCTTTGCTGCCTCAGTCAAGATCAAAGACCTCATGCCTTTATGCTTAACAAGATACTGCCCTTGCAGAACTTGTCTTGTCAGATGATATTAACAGAGAAGGCAGAGCCTTTGAGCCTGTTCTGTGAGTGGTGATCTGAAGCTGTAGTGCAAGGAGGTCTGTGTGCCTTAGTCATCTTAAAAAGTGCTTGTGGCCTGAAGTACAAGTATACATGAAAGAAACTCTGCAAAGTCTGCAGGTCTCCTCACTTGCAGTCCAGTGTCTTGAGTCCCCATACTCTTTGCAGCTCCTCTTGTCCCATGGTGTTCCTGTGGGCCTTAGGTTACAGTGAATAGTGCTTTGGGCTACGCACTGATTAGAAGAGGTGGATACCCCCGTTCTGTGCCCACCGAGCTGTTACACAAGGGGGTAGGTCTGTCTAGCAGCAATGCTTTTAATGGAGTACTTCTTCAGCTTTTCAGATGAGTGCTAGATATGTCTGCCTTGATCTGGCTTGAGTCTAATTCTTCACCAGTACTTAATTTCTTCTATTAATCCCACTGATAGGTTTAGCCTCCCTGTGTACATGCACTTTTTGCCTATGTGGAAAGGAAGTATAACTTCACACAAGTGATCCATTAAGTCCCTGATTAGAAGCTTGTGTGCACTGTTACATCAGCTGCAATGATCTGACATGCACGCACACATCAGCTGTGCTTACAGGTGCCAGAGAGCTCGTGTTGGAGTATACCCATGATGAAAGCTTTCCTATGTGAATGAGTGAAGGAGGTAACCCAATCTTCAGAAGTGCTGGCTGCTCAGCTTCTCTTAGTGTTTGAGAGAAATGGTTTGTTCCGGGCAGCTACTAACAAGAGTTATGTTCTAGAGTACTTGTCAGATGGGGCTAGAAGTGTCCTACATTCTGCATCGGGTAGAGTAGTAAATTAGCGTACAGCAGTGGTCAGTGAGACTTTCATGGCCTTAATCTGATAACTAATTTTTTTTTTCTCTCCTTAGCACACCACTTGCCACTTTGAAGTGTATGTTGTTCCTTGGCTAAACAAAATTCAGCTTTTGACGAGCCGCTGCCAATAAGCCTGCCTTGGTTCCAGCAGAGACCAGCAACCAGTTGCTCAGATGTAAAAGGAAAAAAAGCAATAACACAAATTGAGATGGGCTTTATCAATGCCTGTTAACTACTTATGTGTGCTTGTGCTATGTAAGTTAAACTATGTAACTTTCCTTTAGAGCACAGTAGGATATCAACTTTGTTTTTCCTCTTTGTAATTACATTTTTTAGAGCAGCTGTTTTTGGTCTTCCTACAGCTTTTCCAATAAAGTAACTCTAACATCAGAATTATGATTTACAAAACCCCATTTGTTGTTCCTGTTAAGTGACTAATGTAAACCTAAACTTAGTAATTGCTGTAATGTGTAATTTTCTTTGAGCCTCTGCTGTCTTGGAGGGAAGGATTGCTTTTGTGACCAATCTATCATGCCCATAGAATAGTGTGAGAAGGAATGTGGGGTCCTCACCACAGGGTAGATAAGCCATGCCTCCTTGTCCCTTAACCTGCTTATGGTTTTGAATAACAGCTAGAACTCGTTAGCTGTTTTGCACTGAAGAAGCACTCTGCTTTTCAAAAACATTGTAGTATGCAACACTTAATCCTGGGAAGATTAGCCAAAGCTTGTACTAAGGCTGTGATCCTTTCAGGTTCTGGCTGCTACACTGGTACGTTGCAAGGCTTCATCTGTTCAAGCAGCTGTCCAAGAATTAAGTTTCCTCCCACACTTCTCAAGGTGTTTCAGAAGCCTCTGCTTCCTGTGGTATCTGCTCTTTTGCAGTTTCTATCCCTACCTTTTTTGAGCTAGGAGCCATGTGTGGAGAGCCACAGGGCTTTACTTCTAGTCCAAGCAGTAGCTTTGTTCACTTGTGATCTAAGCTATGACTGATGGAGTTGGAGGAACAGGTTGTCTGGCATGTGTGCCTGATCCAGGACAGCTTCACTTTACAAGCAGAGATGGGTGCAGAGGTGTCTGGAGCAGATCAGTGACAAATCTGTCTGGGGTGAGACTGAACTATGCTCTGGCTGTGTATTAGCAGAGGGGATTTGAACAATGTCTGATCTGGGCAAAGAGCTTTAAATCAGTGGGCAGAGAGGATCAGCATGCAGGGACTCAAGTGGCTGAGGTGTTTCCTGTTGAACTGTTAAATTTGTATTGCAGGGAAAGGGATACTGGTCCTGCATGGGGAAGGACAGATGTCCCTGGTATCCATAACTGACTTAGCCTGAAGACAGCCTGGTGGGAAAAAAAAGTCAGTTAGTAAATGGTGTTAAGTGGATAACTGATAAGAAAGAAAGGAAATCTTATCAGCCAGTGTTATTGTATAACATATGGTTGTTGTCCACAAAACCTGAATTTGTTCTTCAAGTGTGAATGTTCCCCAGAAGCAACCTACTAAATCCAAGTGCATCTACAAGCCTAGGGGCTCTTTCACTGGGTCAAGTGTTGTTTCAGTAAGCATGGCACTGTGTTTGGGGTTTGTGTCAGTATCACAGGAAGGATGACTCCAGCTCTAGGGGAAAAAAAAGGAGCTATTTCAATGTCTTGTGATAGGTGTCCCAGAAGCCAAGGAGAAGAGGTGAGGAATCTTCCCTGAGTAGAAAGCAAGTGAGACTAGAGACTGGGGAGACTTGCTCACTCATGACTGGTGTCATGCATAGGAGGGGTCTTTTGGTTTTTATTCCTGGGGGAAAGAGCAGGATCTTGAAAGAAATTTCATCTTCAGATAACAGGGGAATGTGCCAGGTCAAGAGAGGGGGTCTTGGGAGTGGGTGAAGGTGCTGAGGTGAGCATCGAGGATGCTTCTTGTTTTTCATAGTCCTAATAGTGCGTTTCTTACCTTACTTTGTGTCTTTGTTTTTCCATGTTGTGAAGTAAACTTAGTCCTTTTGGTGTAAATCTTACCCAGGGATAAAGTGAGAAAGTGTTGTCTCCCTCCTGTGTTAATCCAGAGGAGTCCTGTGTCTGTCTGGTGGCCTTGTTTTGAAAGAAAGGTGGGAGCTGGTGCAGAGAAGAGCTGCAGAAGTGATCTTATGGATGGAGAAAGCAACTTGGAGTGAGAAGTGTAAGGATGCTGTTATTCTTTGCCTAAAGAATGGTGTCTTGACAAGAGCTAACACAACTACATCTTTGGGCGTGGAGGGGGCTTGGTTCTAATAGAGGAGAGCAAAGTGTGAGCAACCAGAAAAGAAGGTTCTAGTAGGAAATGCAGCTCCCTTGGGGTGCATCTTGAGACTAGATTTTAGGAAGTTTTTTCAGTATGTGGGTGGTGAGACTGGAATAGATTGCCCAGAGAGGCTGTGGATGCCCCCACCCTGGAGATGTTTAAGACCAGGTTGGATGAGGCCTTGAGCAACCTGGTCTAGTTGAGAGGTGTCTTAGTAAGGAGACCAGATGAGAAATGGGGGTGCAGATGGACATAGCCAGGCATTTCCATCACTTCAGCTGTGTTTATTACCCAGCACCTCTGAACAGCAGGTGGGAAAAAGAGTGGCTGCTCCAGTGGAAATGAGTTTGAGTGTTACCAGCTGAATTCAAAGGTATTGAGTTTTCATCTTGAAATGCCAATGACTAAGGACATGAATGAATAGCCCAGATTACCCCATCCTGACAGGCTGCTGAGTGTCAGCCGTGGTGACTGTCCCTTCACCCTGCTCTGCACTTGGAGCAAACGCTATAAAAGCCTGACCTAATTTGAGCCCTTTCCACTGGGGGCTCTGTTGCTGTGCGTTTGCAGCAGGCTAAGAGCATTAGTGGAAGTTCCCCTGCCAAGAGCATTTTGCTTGGCAGGTCTTCCTGCCTGGTAGCCTGGTAGTAGCTCAGTCAGCTGAACGCTGAGCCCTCATTTTTAGTGGCATTCATTGCCTGAGTGAGTCCCTTTTTCAGATGTCGGTGACAGATGTCCATGAGTAACCAAGGAAGTGCTCATTTCATGTTGTCTCTTGTTATACTTTACTTGCATCTGGCAGATCAATTCTGTCTTCCTGCTTCCTTAAACTTAGCTGGGGTAAGAACTTTGCTGCTGCTAGAGCTCATGGACCCAAAGCTTTTTCCTGGCGCTGTGACTCAGGGAGGGATTTAGGGCCAACCAGCTGAGAAATGTAGTTCTCCTTAGCAGTGCCTGGACTTCCAAAGCCATAGTTACGTGGACTTGTAGCTCCCAGCTCTGCAAACCACAGCTGAGACATAGAGCTGTGGAATTCACGATGGTTTTGGAGCCTGTAAGCATTGCCAGTGTGCCACAACTATGGCATGCTTAGTGGAAGACAATTGGGCTGTATCGTCGTTTGGATGAACAAGCAGAAGTATTGATCCCATCTGATCAGTGTGGCAGGATTCAGCCTATCTGGCTTTTTTTTGAGGGACATCTTACATGAGTGAGAGTCTGTGATAAAGAGCAGCTTTACCAGAAGAACTTAAGAGCCTAGACAGTGCTAAGAAATGTAGTACAGGCTGCCTTTGGCATGGCTTTTTTACCTTATCTGGAACCCTTGCCCACACGCCTCCTCTGCCCATGGCCCAAGACCTCATTTAACCTTAAGCCTGGATCCCCTGTGTCTGAGCTGCATTAGATATGGGCTTATCTCCAGCCCTGGCTGCTGCATTGACCTTGGACCTGCCTTGTAGCTTTCTTTCCAGCCTGTTTTCCTGCTCCAGATCAGGCTCCCTGGAAAGGCCCTGGCTGTGATTCATCCCCTCATGGTGTCTGGGTCTGTTTAGGGAGCCTGTCCCACACTTGGCTCCACTGGGCACGCTGAGACCCTGTGGGACTCTGCCCTGTTGGGAGAGGACATGCCCAGTGCTGGGGTGCCCTCAGCTTCTGGCTTATCCCCTCCTCCTGCTGCTCTCTGGGAAGTGGCCCTGCAGGGTCTTTCTGAGATCCTGAAGCTGTGTCAGTACTCCTGCCAAGCACAGATCATTCCTTCTGCACACAGCCTAAACTGCAATTTACTGCAATTTCTTGCAATTGTGAAAGGAAATGACCATGTGGGGATCCAGGTCATCTTGCAGCCCTGCAACACTAGGGCTGGGCCACCAAGTGCTGCTGCCAATGTGACTGTGCTTGGGAAGTACCATATTGCTCAGCCTAAGGCATGGAGACCTCTTAGTGTTAGAAGATGTTAGGTTGTTTGTATTCATCATTAGCACACAGTGCCTTAGAAACACTGCAGTGTGTGATCCTTCAGGAGATCAAATTTACTGATCAAACCCACATTCCCTTTTGAATCTCGCTGTTTTAGCTCTTGATGATGACACTGGAGAGGCAAGACTTCAGATCGTTTTCCTTGCAGAATGCCATGGTGATCTGGAAGTCTTTTCTGCAGGGTTGGGCAGGAAGGTGTCCTAAGTTAGGCCACTGCTGACCATAGTTCTCTCCACGCAGTGTGGTCCCAGGCTTGGCAAGGAGCGAGGATGCCTCTTAGTGCCCACCTGGCTTACGTGAGACAGTCAGACAAGCTGCAGTCTCCACAGTGCAAATTCCTCATAAGCATCTCCCTGCTGTCCCCTTTTGACAGAAGGCATGTCTCGGTGTGGTAGTGGACCCTGGGGCAGGACCTGGGGCTGGAGGTGACGCTTGTGAAATCCTCTCTTCTGCATTGTCACTCTCATGGCATTGCTCAGCTCTGTGAGCTAGTAGGCTCCTGCTGTAGGATTTTGCAACAGGGAAGAGAAGGAGAAGCTCAGCTGCTCATCTCCGTGATAAGCTGATGCATGAGCTTGGGGTGTGTCCTGGGTGCTATTTATGACCTTGTGGAGATGGGTGTGGGTATGTGTTTGTGCAGGACTGGTAATGGGGAAACCTTTCTCTGCTTCCAGCTGGACAAAAACTACCAGTCACTACATCGTGACTCACGATGCCCTTGTTGTGCTGTGCCTTGCTGGCAGGCACTGTCCTCTCATCCCCACCAGCTGAGAAATGCCATACTTTGTGTCGTGCTGCGTCCACCCTTTTTCTTCTAAGCACCCTGGGGTGATTTGGCTGTAGCGAGGGTGAGGCCATCATCAGTAAGTGAAGGCATCTTCTT